AAACCAGATGCTCCTTTCAGCAGAACAATGCAGGCTTTGTGGAGCAGAGACGCTTCAAAACCTGCCATTAGACACTTCTAGATGCCCCAGTTCTGGAGCGCTGACTCAAACTGGGAACATTTTTATCGAATCAGTTGTGGCTTGATAATTTTAAGAGAATGCGACGCAGTGGCGCAGTAGGTAGTGCTGTCGCCTCACAGCAAGAAGGTCGCTGGTTTGAGCCTCAACTGGCTCAGTTGGCGTTTCTGTGTGGAGTTTGCATGTTCTCTCCCCACGTTCACATGGGTTTCCTCCGGGTGCTCCGGTTTCCCTTACAGTCCAAAGCCATGACGTACAGGTGAATTTGGTAGGCTAAATTGTCTGTGTGGGTGAGTGTGTGTGGATGTTTCCCAGGGATGGGTTGCGGCTGGAAGGGCATCCAATGAGTAAAATATATGCTGGATAAGTTGGCAGTTCATTCCGCTGTGGCGACCCCAGATTATTAAAGGGACCACCCTACTGAAAAAAAACAGCTTAAACCAGCCTAGGCCGGTTAGCTGGTTTTAGCTGGTCAACCAGGCTGGTTTTAAAGGGGTTTTGGCCACTTCCAAGCTGGTTTTCAGCCATTTCCAGCCTGATCTTAGTTGGTCAGGATGGGAGATGACCAGCTAAAACCAGCTTGACCAGCCTAGCCAGGCTGGGAGCTCAGCCAAAACCAGCTATGTCCAACTTAAACCTGGCTGGTCAGGCTGGGAGATGACCAGCTAAAACCAGCTTGACCAGCCTAGCCAGGCTGGGAGCTCAGCCAAAACCAGTTATGTCCAACTTAAACCTGGCTGGTCAAGCTGGTTTTAGCTGGTCAGGCTGGGAGATGACCAGCTAAAACCAGCTTGACAGCCTAGCCAGGCTGGGAGCTCAGCCAAAACCAGCTATGTCCAACTTAAACCTGGCTGGTCAAGCTGGTTTTAGCTGGTCAGGCTGGGGAATGACCAGCTAATACCAGCTTGACCAGCCTAGCCAGGAAGTGGTCAAAACCCCTCTAAAACCAGGCTGGTCGACCAGCTAAAACCAGACAACCATCCTGGGCTGGTTTAAGCTGGTTTTTCAGCAGGGTAAGCCGAAAAGAAAATGAATTAATTTATATATATATATATATATATATATATATATATATATATATATATATATATATATATATATATATATATATATATATATATTTCTTATTGGAATAATAAAGTGATTACAATGTATATAAAGGAGACAAAATTATAGTACAAACCATAGAGAGATTACGGTTTTTACCTCTGCGTAGATATTTTATGAATGCATTACAGCTGCATTGTGACGCTGGGTGGGCTGTTTTCCTTTCTCCGGGCATCATGTGTGTGTATTTACGCTCTAATTGACTGCTGCTTTATTCTAATCAGGTGTGTAATCACATGCTAAAGTCATTCGCACTGATCTGGCTGTGGAATGGGACTTATTCGTGACCTCCACACTCCGGCTAAGGGCATTTGCTAAATCTCAACCTCTTGTTTTCCTTTCCTCTGGGTTTCTAAGAAGTCTTTATCCTCAGAAAACGGCAGGCCAGTGGGTCAGTCGGCCTGCAGCCGTGCACATACTCACACGCTCGCGGTCACTCACCTCCAGAGATCACAAATCTCCTTCCAGGACATTTGTGGACGTGACTGGAGCCACAGAGGTTTCCTGCTCTGCGATTAGCATTAACAGTAGAGCTAGGAGACGTGTAATGAGCATGTGTGAACTTCTCCTTTCGGGTTTGTCTTTTATTGTCACACTAAATTTGACAACAGTCACTCTGAGGCTCTTCAGTGTGACGCCAGCCTCTCTCTCTTTGTCCTATTCAAACTCTATCTCTCTCTGCCTTTCTTTAGTCATTTGTGGCGACACGTAGCCCAGGACAGAGCGTTTCCAGATCTGACCTCATGTCAAAGAGCTCTGTTTTATCGCACGATTGTGCCATGACTGACATATGAAGTGGATCAGCTTGAGCTCTGATATTACAGCTACTTATTCAGAGCAATGTGGAGTATTGTGTAGCAAGGCTTTCCAAACTGGTTCAAAGATTCATCAATGAAAACAAAACAATGTTTAGTTCAATCAAATAAATTTTGCTAGTCATTTCAATCCAACTGACTAAAACATGCTGCTCAAAAAATGACTTATTAATTTAAAATGAGCTGAAGCAACACAATTCTTAACTTTTTTGGGACAACTTAATTGTTTTATGTTCAATCCTCCTAAGCTTGTACAAACAATTCAGCTAACTTAATTGAGTTGTGTTGGCAGAACATGAAGGATTTGTGTGGAAGCCATACTGTAAAAAATATATGATCAGCATATGTTATAGGTTAGTGGTTCTCAAACTGTGGTACGTGTACCACTTGTGGTACGCAGGCTTCCTTCTAGTGGTACGCGGAGGAATGAAATATGTCATGTACATGCTACACACATTTCAAAATTTATCAAAAATGATGTATATAATATGCTATAAATGACATATAGCCTATATTTCTGAGGTAATCTGCCACGTTTTTTAACTCTGCAGAGTTGTAGCTGCTTTACTGGGCCTACTACGCTACTGTATTTCAATACTGCTCATTTTGGTGGTACTTGGAGAGACAATTTTTTTCTGAGGTGGTACTTGAGGAAAAAAGTTTGAGAACCACTGTTTTAGGTCATTGTAACTTATTAAACTAAGTTGAGGAAACTTAACCCAGCGACCTTCTTGCAGTGAGACGATTGTGCTGCACCACCGCGTCACTTATTTATATATATACATACATACAGGGGGTGACACAGTGGGAAGCACAATTGTCTCACTGCAAGGTCACTGGTTCAAGTTTCCTCCGGCTTCCCCCACAGTCCAAACACATGTGGTACAGGTAAATTAAATAAGCTACATTGGTAGATGTCCCAGTGTAAAGGGCATCCGCTGCATAAAACATATGCTGGATAAATCGGTGGATCATTCTGCTGTGGTGACCCCTGATAATTAAAGGGACTAAGCCAAAAAAGAAAATTTCATGATTTATATATACACATATATACGATGAACGGTTTAACTGAAACACCTGGTTTTAGATCACAATAATTCATTACAGGGCTCAAAATTGCGACCGTTTTGGCCGCATATGCTCACTATATTATATATGCGCCCTCAAAATATATTTGCGAGCATTTGTGCGAGTGCATAAAATTGTTGCCGTGCGACCAGTTTTTACTGCAAAATGTTCACCGCATGCTCATATTTAGGATAATGAATCTTTGCACCAAACAACGCAACCACAACGCTCAGGAATGGTTTTAACAGACATGTCATTTCAACTTGCAACGGTAAACAAATCTCGCAATGCTTGGCCCGCCTTCCAGCTCTTCTTATTGGCCCACCTTGCTTAAACAGAATGCAAATGGATTGGTAAATATCAGCTGTCAATCACTCAGTCTTCAGGTGACAGGAAGCTATGAAAATGTAAAGGTCTGGATTAGAGTTTTAGTGGAAACAGGAGTTGAGTTGTACTTTTAATTCTGCAGTTAGTTGGTCAGCTGTGGTTTTATGCTTTTTGGATAAAATGTTGGACATCCCTTTCAGACAGCTTCGTCTTGCATCTACATTTACTCCAGTTGGATGTGGTTCATCCTTCTTGGTGGAATGCTGACATTAGGCTGGAGACCGTGGCTCTTGATACATCACGAACAATAGCTGTGTTGGTCAGTCTGAACTCTGAGATTGGTTTAATTTGGTTGAACTATTCTACTCTCTTAATCATTTCTAGAATTATTTGTGATTATTGTAGATTGACAGGCCTCTTGTAGCGTTTTTGTCATATGCATCCAGGGTCTGAGAGTAACGATGTCAATTCTGTACATGTGGCAGTATTGACAATAAAGCTGACCTTGACTTTTTGACTTGACTGTAGTTATCATGCTTGGTGTTAATGTGCGTTTTGAAAAAATCATTGGACATTTTAACACTTTTTTTCATTAGCTATGTTTCCATCCACCTATTTTTATGTGCATTTTGCATATGCGCGTAAAAAACAGGTTGATGGAAACACCAAGATGCGTATAAATTTAGAAAAAGTGCATAAAAACTCATGCGCATAACTGAGTAGGATAAACTTTTTATTCGATAAGAAAAGGTGCGCAAAAACTACAATGGAAACAATTTTACCTCACAAATTTCAGTATGCGCATTAAAAAGGTCATGTGATTCTATTATAAGAGATCATGTGATGATAAAGAATGTGTGTGAATGGACAAACCGTCAGGCTGAGCACATTATAAAACATCCGAAATGTTGATTTGGTCATTCTAGAATGCCTTACTGTTTAAGTATTAGTGTTATATTATTAATGACCTCCAGAATTGAGAGAGTCTGTACTCCGCGTCTGACACCTTCAAACGGCACCGCGTGTTCACTGCGTGTCAGGATTACCTTCTGAGGCGCAAGTCATTTATTAGATGAAGAAAAAATTGATGCAGCTTCTCCTACTTCAGTTTTTACTGTTGATACTTGGAGCCAGTTAATCAGGAAGTGACAATTTTGTTGGCTTTGATGGAAACGCAGCTTTATTCGCACATCTTTTATGCAATTATCCAGTTTTGCGTATGAAGTTCATTTGCATTTTTGGATGGAAACATAGCTAATGATGCAAAAATTTTCATCAAATGCAGGCAACAACATTGTAAAAACAGCTCTTGTCCACAAATATCCATGAAACCTTTTCATTTATACCAGATGCATCATGTCACTTTGTAAAGAAATACCCTTTTTTTTTTTGTTAGATACACACCCATCTATGAACACTTACACACCCATCTCATTTGAACTTGCACTCTGTTTCAGAGGCTTGCATTTGTATTAAACCCTTGTGTAAATAAATAACCAAAAATCCATTAAATAAACTTACCCTTGACTGAAGTGCTGAAATATTAGAATTTTTAGAATTTATTTTACATTGTTTATTGAATGAGTGACAAAAGAAGACAGACAGTCCAGTTTTTCAGCAGCTATAAGCGATGTTTATTGATAAGTACTGCTTTCAAAAGCAAAGCTTAGCATACCATTCATAAAGAAAAGTTAATACAAGCAAATAGAGAAACAGATACGTTATTTCTGTGGCCCTCCAAAGCATCATTAAAATTAAAAATCACAAAACTTTAAATTCAGTAGTCATCTTTTCAAATTAAAAGGGATTTTATTGTGCAATCACTGAAGTGCATTTCAAATACATCGATTTTACACCTGCGACTCCTCCCAAAGAGCTTAGAATGACCAAGAGGCGACACTATTCCATTGCAACAGCAGCGCTCAGCAACAGCCGGTTCCGCCATTTTGGAGTGAAAGCAATCGGCTGTTCATTGGATCTTATTGATGTCGCGATGGCAAGCCGCAGCTTTGTTATTTATTTATTTATTTATTTTAAAAATGCATTAAGGCTGAGATGCAACCTGAAAGACGATAATACAACACTTACTATCACAATCATCAGCACTTTTAATAGTTTTTATTTTACAGACTTATATTATGCTGCTGTTCTATTGGAGTTTTCATTTCAGAAGGGCCGCCGCGCCATCTAGTGGCTGTTTACCTAATTGCGCTAGAGTGTCGCCTCTTGGTGATTCTATGCTCTTTGCTCCTCCTGAGACCCTAACGAACCATTATGACGTCATCAGATCAGCTGACTTTCTGAACGCGACGTGATTGGCTCTGCTCATTCAAGTTTTTGCGCTTTAACGTTTTATTTTTTCTGTGGAGAATGTGTAAGTGTACTAGCTGCACTGTAACCTCTATTCACTAATGGCAATAACAAGATAAGCGCTTTATTTATGACTCCCATTTGAGATCTGGTTGAGTGGGTGAAGTTCAGAGCGTTTTAACCGGCAAATCCGATCTCCTTGTAGTATCCGTCGATGTCCCCGATGACCGCGTCCATGACCCGCCTCAGGGCGCCTTGACCGGCCGCGTCCAGACCCGCCTTTTCGGCCATCACTTTCACCAGCACCTCGGTGATCAGCTGTGGACAACAGAAAAACATGACAGTCCGATGCTATTTTTATCCCCTTTCTTTTTACGAGGGAATGAAGGTGTTGTGCCAATTATACTTGAGGTCAGTGAGAGAGCAGCAAATGAAAGTGAGAAGAGATTTCCACACCGTGTGTCAAATGCTATTGGGTTTCCGTCCTCATTGACACCATTGTTTATCCATCATCATCGTGCATTCAACATTGTGATTGTGCCTTGTGTTATTAGCCTAGTAACGTTTTAATATCAATTGTCATCGGTTTCAGTATTGAGAAATGCTTATTTTAATGTGCTATTTCTCAGACAAAATCTGCTGTTATATTCTCATTTTGGATGATTTAGATTAGATGTATTCACATTTCTTAAATATTTTTTATTATATTGTTTAAATTGGTGTGTTTTAAATGTCCTTTTAGAACTTATATATGCTTTTGAATGTTTACATTTTTAGAAACATTATTTTTTATATCAGTTAGATTCAATATCTATATACTTTGACATTACTTTATATTATACTTTTACAGGCTTTCATACCAAATGAGAACAATATAACAAATATATTATAATTTCTAGTAATATTATGTGAAAGTATTATTATTCTATTTGTATAATATATAGTCAGATTCAAAGTCAGCCACATTCTTGTTCTGTCTTAAAGACATTAAGCTGCAAAAAATTGAGACAAAATATAATATGGGTGTTAAATTTTCAGCATATTCTGTGATATTTCATATAAGTGCCATTTTTTTATGTACTAAAATTCAAGAATATAATTTTAGTTTTCAGTGCTCAGCTTTTATAAGTACATATATACTTACAAATTTATCTTGAACTAATTTTTTAAATAGGAAGGTGGTATACAATATTATGTTTTATTTGTGCATATATATAAGATTAGTCAGTACTGAAGCCAAATCTGGAGCTTATCTAACAAAATAAATTACGATCTAAAAACTAATTCACCCAAAATTTATATGTTATAGAAAATATTAAACACTAATCTAAATAAGAGAAAAAAATCAAGAGAAGCAAGAAATTAGTTTATTTGTTGGTTGTAATTTATTTTATTTTTTTTGCAATATTTTGCATGAATTCAATTGTATTATCTTTGAATTATTAAATATGTTCAGTGACTAATATATTATTTTAATAAACAAATCTGTTAAATATATCTTTTGTTTAAATGCTCCAAAATGTTTTGCCTGTATTCACTAAGAAATTTATAAAAATACTTTCAATTTCACTTTCAAAATGGGATGTACTCAATTATGCTCAGCACTGTATATATTGAGTATATTTAGTTTAAATATATATATATATATATATATATATATATATATATATATATATATATATATATATATATATATATATATATATATATATATATATATATAAGCATATATATATAAGCATCTTTTAAACTTTAGATCTGTAGTGTCTGCTTTCTGCTGGCTTTATGTGGGCGGAGTAATACACAAAGGGTAAAGAGGCTGTACTGGTGCTGATATTACTTAAATATATCACGGCTATCAGCCAATCAGATTCGAGAACCAGACAGAACTGTTGTATAAATATATATATATATATATATATATATATATATATATATATATATATATATATATATATATATATATATATGAAATAATTGCAGCGTTCCACACAATTCATTCTTGTCCCAACGCAAATCGATTAAGTTAACTTAAAACGTTTAAGTGGATTAAACATAGAGCAACTAAGTTTCCCAAAAAAATCTCATAAATTTTGTTTTAGCTCATTTTAAATAAGTAGCTTGAACAAGCAGCACATTTCTATTTATTTTTTTGAGTGTAATTTAAATATACAGTAAAAGTCTGAATTATTAACCCCCCTGAATTAATAGCCCCGCTGTTTAAAAAAAATAAAAACTGCTTTTATTCTAGCCAAAATAAAACAAATAAGACTTTCTCCAGAAGAAAAAATATTAACAGACATACTGTGAAAATTTGGGGGGGTTAATAATTCTGACTTTATCTGTATAATGTATATATAGTCTTGTGCTAGGTTATAGTTCAATGTGGATGCTTAGTCGAGCAGTGTTTAGATCAGAGAGTCCTGCTTTACCCTGAAGTTGTTGAGGGCCACTTTGTGAATGTTGGCGTGTGTATTGGCCAGTGGTTTGAGCAGGGCAGCGTGGTCTCCTTTGGCCTTCAGCAGTTCGCCCAGCTTCTTGAGCACGGTCGCTCCATGAGCCGCCACCGCCGGGCTTCCCGCCAGATCACCCTGAGAAATCCCAGAAAACTTGGGGAAGAGCTTCAGAGTGTCTGGATACTCCTTGAACAGACTGAAGAGGGGAGAAAAAAACATCACACTCAATAGCAAACCATTTTAGTTCTAAGTAGGGCTGCACGATATTTCATAAATAAATTATCGCGATAATAGTATATGCAAAACATGTATCGCAGACAAATTATGCATGGGTTGTTTATCTAAATTTGAGGCTAACTATTGTTAGCCCCGCCTCCCCCAGTTGCTGTTTAGCTATTGGCTGGCAAGGTGAACGCAGAGCTGAAATTAAACACTAGTGGGCGGAGTCGAGATGAAAGGGAAAATGACAACAGCCAATCAGAGTCAGAATATCTGTGGTTTTCACTCATGTTTTAAAGATCAAATGTTTTTACATCTGAATTAGAATTAATTAGATCTATTTGACCTTTTTATTTTAATGTCATTCAAAAAATCCAAGTTTCCCAGTAAAACATATGCTGGATAAGTTGGCGGTTCATTCCACTGTGGTGACCATCGATGAATAAAGGGACTAAGCCGAAGGAAAATAAATATTTAAAAACATAGCTAATAAAAATAGGCATTTTATTACAAAATTGTTACATCATAATAAATACAGTCATTGCAATACTCGACAATAATCGAGCAGCCTTAGATCTAGTAGTAGAGTTTGTGGAACTAACCGGTTGAGAACTTCTCCTCCGTTAGCCGCATAATCGGCCTCCACGGCTCCCCAGCACTTCAGAACCAGATCATGATCAGCCATCGTCTGTCTGAGGAAACATAAAAACACACACACCTGTCTTCAATATCGGGGCTTGTGTGAACACGTCAGGCATCTGCAGTCGTTAAACAAGCGATGTATGGATGTGCCCATAAAATGGCATCACATGAGCTGCGGTTCACCCATGGCGGGTTTTAAAGAAATAGTTCCTCCAAAAATGAAACTACCTCAACGTTTACTCTTGCTCATGTGGCTTTAGATTCATTCTTCTGTTAAACACAGAAGAAGATACTTTGAAAAATGCTCGTTGCTGGCATCTATTGGTTACGAAAATGACTATAGAGATCAATGGTTGGAGGTGTCAAACATTCTTCAAAATATCTCATTTTGTGTTTAACAGAAGAACAAAAACTCTGATTGGTTTTTATCAAGTAAAGGGTGAGTAAATGATAGATTTTTCACTTTTGGATGAGGTGTTGCTTTAAAAAAACAGAAGAGGAACCATATATGGTAACATCCTTTACACTCAATACAGTAAATACATTTTTTAGGGCATAAAAGTTTAAATGTCCTGGATTCTGATTGATTTAACTCATTTTTTTCAACATTATTAATTAATTGCTTCTCTCTGGTAGGAGATATAGAGTCCGTAAGTTGGTTGAACTGATATAATCAATGCTTTGTACCAGTTTTAGTGGGTTTACTTAACAAGAGTTTATTTTTTCCCACTACTGGGTTGCAGCTGGAAGAGCATCCGCTGCATAAAACATATACTGGAGAAGTTGGTGGTTCATTCTTTTGTGGTGACCCCAGATAAAAAAAGTGACTAACCTGAAAACAAAATGAATGAGTTTATCTTATTTAGCATTATGATTATTGTAATTACTGTATTTTGTGTTGTTTGTTTGTATGGAATGTCTGCAGCAATATGCTGATGCCCATAACAAACTTCCTGTCAAGAACAACTGTTTAAATGCCTTAATAGAAAATACTGACGATTCTGTCTTCTCAAACATGATTCAGTCAAACTCAAAAGAAGATATTTTGAAGAATGCTGGAAACTGGTAGCCACTGACTTGCATAGTGTTTTGTATGGAAGACAATGGCTACCTGTTTTCAAAATATTGATATTTATTGAGTTTGACGGAAGAAACTTGTAGAGCGAAAAAAAAAAATTATTTTTTATGCAAACTGTTCGTTGTAAGCATGAAAAGCTGTTTATAATGAGTGTTTTGCATGAGGTTTGATGAATATCATAACACTTCTGACCTTAAACGACCTCTTTTCTGTTTGATAGTTGCAGGTCTGTGGGTTTTTTTGGCTACCATCGCCAGTTACTTTTTAAAGTAATGCATTACAATGCTGAGTTACACCCTAAAAAGTAACTAATTGGGTTACTTAGTTACTTTTTATGAAAGGTAATGTGTTGCGTTTAGGCATAGGCATCACGGCTCTGCTGTGTTGTGATTACTGCTCTAAATTAAGTTCTTTTTAAATGTCGGGGTAAAAAACTACTTTTATTCCCTTTTGAACACAGTATATTTTATTGTGAAAAACATTTATAATATTTTGGAGCAGTAAACATGTCAGGCTAAATAAATTATTGACTTCTGCTGTCATTTGTTTTGAAAACAGATTATTATTATTTATTTAAATTTTTTACAATTTAAAACGGCATCTTTGAATATATTTTCTGCTTGAGATACAGCTGTCCTAAAAAACAAAAAAATAATAAAATAAAAAAATAAAAACGTAAAATAAAAAAATCGTGCACATACATTGGGAACGATATTGCAGAAAATTTTGATGGTTTTAAACCTTGACTTTTTCGAACCGCAGTACACCTTGAAAACGGTTATCATCCCATGCCTATAGCTGCGTTACTTTTGAGTTACTTCTAGCATGATTCAAAATTATTTTAATTCAACAATTTATTTTTTAAAAACTGATTAATACAGTTAAAAAGTAACCCGGATTACATCTTAAAAGTAGTAAAGTAACTCAAATATTCTTACGTAATTTCTAAAAGTATTACGATACTTTACTCATTACTAAAAGTACCATTATTTGTAACTTGTTTGTTACTTGTAATGCGGTTCCTCCCAACACTGCTCATCACCGATACAAAGTAACTGTTAATCTCTGCAGTAAATGTTCACTAATCAGCCTCGTTTGGCACAAATTCACTGAAGTATTTCTGCAGTTTCGGGCTCCAGTGATCTGGAAAGCTCAGGTCACCTTGAGGACTTCAGTTTCAGATCCCATCAAACACTGCGCCACAAGTGCAGACAGAGAACAGGCTGATAAACCAGATGCTTTCCACTTCTATTTCACTTTCCCAGATTAATTTAGCACTTTTTTGATATATTGTACATGCTTTTTCTAACTTTATAAAAGTTTTTACTTCACTTTCTCATTGTTTATCTGTTTAATTTATCTATTAAAATGATCATTCAAATTTTTTTATCGTACTATAAGGCTTTTTAATTACTTTTGATCACAGTTGAGATTTTCTCAACAAATATAAAAAAAATCTATCATTGCATGTTTTTTTCTTTAGTTTGAGCTTAAAAACTGCTGTGAAAAATAATTAATTACATTTTATTTACAAATTTTAACTTAAATTCTGCCGCAAACTAATTGACTATTTATTAGCACTGTCTACTCATTATTTTTGAACATTTTTAATATAAATATAGTTTAATATAGGCATTATTATTCTATTTTCCTATTTCCCTCCCTCCTATTTCTATTTTCTATTTCCCTCCCAATTAACTTCAATGTACACTTAACACATAATTTAGGTTTAATTTAACAATTATTCACTTTAATTCTGCATAAAACTGCACATTTACTCTTGTCAAACTATTTCTAGTACAACAGAAAACTATTTAAAAGTATTTTTAATTTTCCTACACTCATAGATTTCATTTTCTTCATACACAAATCCCTTGACACATTAAACAAACTAATAATGATCTCTATGAAAGACAGGTGGAAAGTCTTTATAACCTTCTGAACGAAGTATGCTAGAGTCCAGTGAAGGTCTTACCGCGGTGTTTGTCCTCTGTGAAGAGCGTGTGACTGCCTGTGGCTTTGGAAAAGTCTCCAGATAAAGTCAGATCATCAGTTTCTCCCCACATTGACTTTATATACAACATCTCTGTGACATCACCACCTCCAGCCTGTCAATCACGCTGTCCCTCTGCGTGTCTTGAAATGTTAACCACACCCCCTTCCATTTACCCCATCAGAACACACAGCCCCTCACTTACAGTCAAACACACACACACACACACACACACACACTCCCTCGCTCTCTTTTTCTGAGTCAAACAAACACACACACTCATACACACTGGTTGGTTTTTGTGAACTGTGGGGACATTCCATAGCGTACTGGTTATATTTTGCAAGTTTACACTGACACACACACACTCACTCACTCGTATACACACTGATACTCATGCTCACTCTCCCACACTGACACACACACACTCATTCATACACAAATTGCCACATACACTCTCACATACTCAAAACACACACAATCTAACTTACACTCACTGACACACACTTATACACACATAAGCACACACATACACTCGTTCATACAAAATTTACCACATACACTCTCTCACATACTCAAAAGCACAGACACGCACTCATTCGCACACATGCACACACAAATTGTCACACACTCTCTCACATACTCAAAAACACACACACTAACTCATACACACTCTCACACTGACACACACTCACTTATACACACATTAGCACACACACACACTCATTCGCATACAAATTGCCTCATACACTCTCACATATTCAAAAACACACACACTCTAACTCACACACACTCACCTATACACACATTGGCACACACACTCATCATGCGCACACAAATTGTCACATACACGCTCTCACATACTCAAAAACTCACACATACACACTCATACTCATACACACTCTCTTACACTGACACACACACTCACTTATACACACATTAACACACACACTCTCTCACACAAATTGCCACATTCACTCTCATACTCAAAACACACTCACACTGACACACACTCATTCACACAAGTTGTCACATACACTCTCATATACTCAAACACACATTCTCACACACACTCTTACTCATACATACTCTCTCACAGTCACACACTCACTTATACACAAATTGGCACACACACATACTCAAAAACACACACTCTAACTCACACACACTGTCACACACTCATACACACATTGACACATACACACAAGTGGAAACACTCTCTCTCTCAAATACTCAAAACACACACTAACTCATATACACACATACACACTCATTCATACACAAATTGCCACATACACTCTCTCAAACTCAAATTCACACACACATTCACACGCATTGACGCATACACATGCTCATTCACAAACACTCTCTAACCCATACACACACTTCTCCACTGATTGACACACACACACACACTCATTCAAACACAAATCGCCACATACACTCAAATACTCAAACACACACTCTCACTTATATGCGCATTGACATATACTCTCTCACAAACACAAACACACCATCTAACGCATACACACATTGCCATACACACTAACACATACTCAAACACAGTCTTAATCATACACACACACTCGAACATACTCTCTTACATTCAGTCTCACATACACACATTCTCTCACACAGAAGCACATTCACTCTCTAACACACACACACACACACACACACACACACACACAGGCTCTGCAACACAATCTTTCTGAGATTGTTCAGATATCATCTCTGTTTTATTCCACAATCCCCAAGCACAAGAACACACAAAGACAGCGGTACAGCAAAGTCAGTGCACTTTTCATGAAGTCATTTCAACATCATGCGAAACATTTGTCCTTTCATTTATTTCTCGTCATCACTTACAATCCTTCATAGTTTATTTGGGCCTCACCCACATGAAAACAATACTATAGTACTTTATAGCAAATACTGTTGTGTATCGTTGGCGGCACGGTGGCTCAGTTATTAGCACTGACAACTCAAAGAAAGAAGGTCACTGTTTCGGGTCAGTTGGCCTTTCTGTGTGGAGTTTGCATGTTCTCCTCGTGTTGGCGTGGGTTTCCTCCGGGTGCTCTGGTTTCTTCCACAGTCATGTGAATGTGAGAGTGTATGGGTGTTTCCCAGTAATGGGTTGCAGCAGGAATGGCATCCGCTGTGTAAAACATATGCTGGAATAGTTGGCGGTTCATTCCGCTGTGGCGACCCCTGATCAATAAAGATATGAAGGAAAATGAATGATATTATATCATTCACAACACCATGGAAGCTACATCATGCTGTAGTGAACTGATAAACTAATTAATTCATACTGTAGTAAACTTCAGTTTTTACTTCACTCAAGGGCCACTTTATTAGGTACACCTGTCCAACTGCTTGTTAACGCAAATTTCTAATCAGCCAATCACATGGCAGCAACTCAATGCATTTAGGCATGTAGACATGGTCGAGACGATCTGCTGCAATTCAAACCGAGCATCAGAAAGGGAAAGAAAGGGGATTTAAGTGACTTTGAACGTGGCATGGTTGTTGTTGCCAGAATGGCTGGTCTGAGTATTTCAGAAACTGCTGATCTACTGGGATTTTCACACACAACCATCTCTGGGATTTACAGAGAATGGTCTAAAAAAGAGGAAATATCCAGTGAGCGGCAGTTCTGTGGGCGCAAATGCCTTGTTGATGCCAGAGGTCAGAGGAGAATGGCCAGACTGGTTCCAGCTGATAGAAAGGCAACAGTAACGCTATTAAGCACTCGTTACAACTGAGGTCTGCAGAAGAGCATCTCTGAACACAAAACATGTCCAACCTTGAGGCGGATGGGCTACAGCAGCAGAAGACCACACCGGGTGCCACTCCTGTCAGTTAAGAACAGGAAACTGAGGCTACAATTCACACAGGCTCACCAAAACTGGTCAATAGAAGATTGGAGAAACGTTGCCTGCTCTAATGAGTCTCCATTTCTCACACAATCGAATGGTCGGGTCAGAATTTGGCACCAACAACATGAAATCATGCATCCATCCTGCCTTGTATCAACTGTTCAGGCTGGTGGTGGTGTAATGGTGTGGGGGATATTGTCTTGGCAAAAGACATTAGTACCAACTGAGCATCGTGTCATTGCCACAGGCTACCTGAGTATTGTTGCTGCCCACGTCTATCCCTTCATGACCACAGTGTACCCGTCTTCTGATGGCTACTTCCAGCAGGATAATTCGCCATATCATTAAGCATGAATCATCTCAGACTGGTTTCTTGAACATGACAATGAGTTCACTGAACTCAAATGGCCTTCACAGTCACCAGAACTCAATCCAATAGAGCACCTTTGGAATGTGGTGGAACGAGAGATTGGCATCATAGAAGTGCACCCGACAAATCTGATGCAACCGCGTGGTGCCATCTTGTCAATATGGAGCAAAATCTCTGAGGAATATTTCCAGTACCTTGTTGAATCTATGCTGTGAAGGATTACGGCAGTTCTGAAGGAAAAAGGGGTCCAACCCGGTGTACCTAATAAAGTGGCCGGTGAGTGTAGATGTATCAGTATGTGCTTGATTTGTTTATAATACTATAGTATTGTGTTACTATAGCAACAACATAATTAATTTGCACTACGTTATTTACTAATAACGACAACAGTGTTTAGATAAAGCACATCTGCGAGACTGATTTAGGCAGTGAGCTTTATAGGTGTGTTTGTTTGGAGAAAAACAAAACAATGAGCGTCGCGTGTCGCAAACAAACACAGGAAAACGGCTCTTAACCTCAATCCTCAAAAATTCTGAGAGCAACACCGCAATAAAAGCATCACTGCATTGTGTTTGTCCGTGTCTGTCGATGTCTCGTTATCTGTCTATGGCAGTCATCAGGCAGGTGTATTAATAGCATTTGTGCTTTCGGATAAGGGTGAAGCATTTCCCCTTCATTCAGACCGCCGGTCAGGATCAGCGTCTGCTGCCAAAACTTCCCAAACCTGGAAGAAATGAAGAGTCAAACACCATGACATTGAACTTCAGCCACTTCTGTGAGGTAAAGTTTGGTAATACTCTTCAACCGCTAGGGAAATCACATAGATATATATGGGGAAATCAGCTATGGAGATAAAGCAAAACGGCGGATTATGCTACACACAATGCAACTCACACAGCGTTTAATAATTAATTTCTGAGATATTTAATAAAGAATAGGATGTGATGTGTAGTTGACCAATGGACTCAATGATCCTGGGAAGAGCTGTGTATTTTAATGCGACTATAGCGCCACCTGGGGGAAATACTGTTCATGTGCTTTACGGGACGTTTTTGTTGCACAACGACAAAAATAAGCTTTTTTAAGCATAAAAATGATTAAATACAGCTACATTTCCGTTTAACATTGTAATGTGACCCTTTTCACAATAAATTCTTAATTTTAATAAATAATTACTATCATTTTCACCCTTTATTTGCAGAAAAAACAAATGTTGGAGTTTATAAATTGCAAACAATAAACACGTATTTACAACAAGAGTGTAACGTTAATTAAAGTACTATTTAAATGTCATTTTAGGTTTTTAATCATTTGACATTCAACAAAAAAATTTCATTTATTCTTTCATTTTTATCCGCTTTTCCGGAGCTGGGTAACAGAGGCAGCAGTTCTAGGAGAGAACCCCAGACTTTCCTCTCTTCAGACACTTTCTCCAGCGGGATCCCAAGGCGTTCCCAGGCCAGCAAAGAGACATAGTCCCTCCAGTGTGTCCTGAGGCCTCCTGGTGGGACATTTCTGGAACACATCTCTAGGTAGGCGTCCAGAAGGCATGCGAAACAGTGCCAGAGCCACCTCAGCTGACCTCTCTCAATGTGAAGGAGCAGCAGCCATACTCTGAGCTCCTCACCCTATCTATAAGGGTGCACCCTGCCACCCTGTGAAGGAAACTCATTTTGGCTGCTTGTATATGAAATCTTGTCCTTTTGGTCATGACTAGTGCCAGATGGAATCTGCAGACATTTTCACTATTTCTGAGCAGAATTTTGTAAAAAAAAAAAATTGGGAGTATTATAACTAAAACCTTAATGTATAAAATAAAAAGTAATGCCTTTTTAACTCTTTTAAATGTTTACAATGCAAATCCAAATAGATCCACTTTATTTGTTAAACAAAGCAAGTATCTCATAATATCTCTAGTAAAAGACAGAAAATATTACTTTACACTCTGTATTGTAAATAAATCATAAACATTTTCATATTAGTCAATAATATTACTGTATTTAATTAAAAAACTGAATAAATGTGAATTTACACACATTTACACAAGTAAACCGACTCAATGATGGGTTAAAAATCTGCGTGTGCAGATTCTGTGTGGGCCTAGTCATGATCCAAAACTCATAATCATAGGTGAGAGTAGGAACGTAGATTGACTGGTAAATTGAGAGCTTTGCCTTATGTTTTTTTACATGTTTTGTAGGTCAGAATGCTGTGTCATTTTACATTAATAGCCTATATCTGTTACACTGAATGATGATATAATATTTCGAAATTGTATCGGTTTTGTAAAGGTGATGTTTTTCTGTGTGTTTTGTTTAAACACATTTCTACATAATAGTTTTAATAACTCATCTCTAATAACTGATTTATTTTTTACTTTGCCATGATGACAGTAAATAATATTTGACTGGATATTTTTTTCAAGACACTTCTATACAGCTTAAAGGGACATTTAAAGGCTTAACTAGGTTAATTAGGTTTACTAGTCAAGTCAGAGTAATTAGGCGATGTTGTGTAATGATGGTTTGTTCTGTAGAATATCGAAAACAAATATAACTTAAATGGGCTGATAATATTAACCTTAAAATGGTTTCTAAATTTTTTTATTTATTCTAAAAACAAAAAATACAATAACAAATGAGCAAAATAATTATCTTTAACAATAAAAAATATACATAAAAAAATAGAGAAACAGCTAAACACAGGGGGTATAAAAATACATACAACATTTTTGTAACATTTAAACATAATATTACTTATTGAAAAGTTTTTATTTATATAAGTGTAAATATACTAAATGTTAAGCAAATTATAATTTTTTAAACGAGAAATTCATCTATACTTGAGTCTTATGACAAGAAAGCAATTAAAGTTTTTGAAACATGTGCTTTATTTAATATTCTGCATTAATTTGGGATGTTAAGGTGCTCTCTCTCTTTTTGTTATAAAACAATTAGATCAGTGAAAGATAGTGTTTAAATTCGTTCAGAAAAAACACAAACATGAACTTTAGGAAACATGCAGACAATGCACAGATCCAGCAAATGCCTTTAAAAGCAAAACAAGAACTTTTTCGTGATCTTGCAAAATAAAAGTCGAGTGAAAACGTTCCGGTAACATGTATCCAGATAACGTCCATGATGTGCTATAACTAATAAAATGACATTCGTTAAACGCATTGAGGAAAATATTAAATGTTAACAGTAAATTATTAAATGTCTAAAAATGTATATTAATCAAGTATTTTTAGTTATTTATTTGTCGTGACTTTTATTTTGGTGGGAGCTGCAGCGAAAGTGACCAACGTCTCTCTGATGATTCAAACTTCACTGTCGAGAGGCCATTTTTTTATGTGTCCGGATCCCGGTTCCGCTCATTTCTCCCCCTAACCCGCTTTTTAACACCGAATAATAACGGATATCACCGGCGAACGAGTCCCGGACATCAACAGCCTTCATACCAGAGAAGAAAACCACAGATAAACCGGGGATTTTCGCGTGCTGTCCGTCATGAATCCTGAATAGTAAGTTTGTGAAGAAAAGCGCTGATGACACATCAAACACATGAGCGCGCACTCGTCTCATACACTATTATTGTTATTTAAATGCACACTGATCAACATCTACATAGATTTTAAGTAAGCAAAACACTCGCTATTTGGATTAGGATTGTTTTCCTATTATTGACCACAACGTTGTTGCTTGTTTAACCATAGCAACCGACCACGAAATCGCTTTAATGTATTTAAAAGCGTTTATTACTGTTTAATATGTGCCTCACTGTAGTAATGTCTGTGTATCTGATGTATATCTTAACTGTCAGGCTGTTTCTTCAGCTCTGACACACTCAACTGCCACGTCGCTGTTAAAAGGATAAGTTAAGAACGAAAGTGCAGACATGATGCTCATCTGATTGTGTTTATTATGAGATTTAATCATATTCAGGCTTATTAAACTGCTGATCTCCTGTCAGAAATGTGAACTTGGGCCTGAATGTACTGACATGTTGAGTTTTGCTTTAGAGGATGATGGGAAATTGAATCACCTGTTACCACACCACCCTTTCAGAGCATAGAGTTTCACCCTGGTAATACAATGGTAGTGAATATTTGCTGCATTAAAGGGATAGTTCGCCCAAAAATGAAGGTTTGAGTTTCTTTCTGCTGTTAAACTCAAGGCAGATATGCCCAAGAATGCTATAAAATCAGTCATTGACTTCAATAGTGTTTTGTGTTGCTAATATTGATGTCAATAGCTTCTTTTTTTCCTCCATTATTCTTCAAAAGTGTGAGTAAATGATGAGAAAATGTTCATTTTTATGTGAACTAACCCTTTAATGCACCTTTGGAATTAGGAGACCTGTCAAAACACGTCCACGTTCATACTTGAAGATAGAAATTACATTTCAGTGCGCATCTTTTCTTTTTTATTAATGCAAACATTTTGATTTTAATATATTTTCACTTTTTTAACAGATCTGTGACTTTTATTGTGTGTTATTCATTAATATTTTATTAAATTAAGTTTTATTTCTTTAATAGTAAACAAAAAAACATTTTTACTCACAAAACAATATGTTTAGTTATGATTTTGGCTAAATTATGACCTGAGATATGAAATATGAAAATTTTTCTGCTTTAATTTCACTCTTGGTTTGACTGAAACTGCAGATTTGGTGATTCACGAGGGTCACGTGATCATGTGTAACACCGGCCGTTGAGATGTGATGACACACACACTTCTCTTACGTAACATGATTGCTGCTTCCACGTCACAGATGAGGAGTGTCAGAGAACACTGGTTTTGCTGATTGCTGTTATTAATTGTTTTCTGGTTCCTCTTTCAGTGATTACCTGTTCAAACTCCTGCTGATCGGAGACTCTGGCGTCGGGAAGTCTTGCCTTCTGCTGCGCTTTGCTGTAAGTTATTAGTCCACTGTTTACACAAACTCACACACACTCACGGATCAGATAATGGCTTTTATTATTGTGCTGATGATTTGCCTGTCAAAGAGCTTCATGCTAAAGGTGAAAGTGTCATTTCTGTTTCACCAAACAGGCAACAAGAATCATTTTATGACATTAAAAGAAGCTACGAAATATGAATTAATTAAACGACAGGGGAATATTTCAATTTTAGGTTTATAACATAATTTAAAATATGACATCATTCATTTCTTTTTCCTTTGGCTTAGTCCCTTTTTTCATCAGGGGTCACCACAGCGGAATGAACCGCCAACTTATCCAGCATATGCTTTACATAGCCCTTCCAGCTGCAAACCAGTACTTGGAAACACCCATACACACTTATTCACACTCATACACTACGGCCAATTTAGCTTATTTAATACCCTATAGCGCATGTGTTTGGACTGATTGGGAAACCGGAGCACCCAGAGGAAACCCACGCCAATATGGGGAGAACATGCAAACTCCACACAGAAATGTCAACTGACCCAGTCAGGATTCGAACCAGCAACCTTCTTGCTACAAGGCAACTGAGCTAACCACTGAGCCACTGTGTTGCCCAATATTACATATATAAGACATAATATTCCACTCTTACGTCCTGGGTCTTTAAACACTTACAGTTGCAATGTTTATTTTGCTAGAGCACATTGTTATTCTATAAGTGAACAATTAACCCGTGAAGTTAATTCACTGAAAAAAAAAAAAAGTTTGTTTTGGTAATCTTTGATGAAAGTCTGAGAGAGACCTAAAAGGAAATGTTTTTAAATGTGAATCCTTCAGAAATGCCAGAATTTTTATCAAAAGTGAAACTGTTTTACATTTTTATCTTGTGTGTTATTTATAGCTGTTCTTTTTATTGTTGTAAATGTTTTTATTATTATTATAGAAAAGTGATATTTAAAAAATGTGGTCAATTTGATCTGGTTTCCCCATGAAATAGCTTGAGAAGCAATAAATTAAAGCTCATTCTCTCTCTTCTTTTTACAATTATTGTAAAACAGATAGATACATTTGGCACGCATAATTTACAATAATAATCAGTAGATGATTTACAATAATAATCATTACGTTTCTATAGAGCTTTTCTGCACACTCAAAGTGCTTTACACATTGGGCAGTATAGAGCTCCCTTCACTATACTGGGGCATTAGGACCCACCGCAGGTTGAGCACTCCCTGCTGGCCTCACTAACACCACTTCCGGCAGCAACCAAGCTTTCCCATGTGGTCTCCTATGCAGGTACTGACCGGGCGCATCCTTGATTAGCTTCAGTGCGTAACCATATGAGAGTTGCAGAGAGCTAGCTGCCGGCATAGCTCAGTAAGAAATATCAGCAGGTTATCTGATCTAAAGGTAGATATTATGCATAAAGAAATTCAGAGTGAAGAGGGAGAAATAGAAAAAGATAACAGCAGTATATTAGCGGTTGAAACCCTCTCACTTACTGTTAGTTTGCTATGAGTGGCTAGGCTAATAGTTAAAGAGTTAGACTTGCAGTCCAAATTTCACGGGTTCGAGTATTGGTACCAGCAGGAATTGTTGAAATGTCCACCTGAACACCAAGGCACTGAACCCCAACTGCTCCCTGGGTGTGTGTTTAGTAGTGTAAGTCACTTTGTATAAAAGAGTCTGCTAAATGTAAATGTATGAGGGAATGATGCGCAAAAGAAAGCCCCGCCCCTGCTCAATATTCAGTTTCAGTTGGAAGTACATCATCATACTATGACACAAGTCTAAAATACTGTTTTTTAAAACTCTTTAAAATGTTGCTGAATGTCTGATTTGTGAGTGTGTGCACTTCTTTCTTCAGGACGACACGTATACAGAGAGCTACATCAGCACGATAGGAGTAGACTTTAAGATCAGGACCATAGAGCTCGACGGGAAGACCATTAAACTACAGATCGTAAGTTTGCAGAACGTGTTTTTTCAATTTGAGGTTTTCGTTTAGTAACGTGTACTGTATATAAAACATTATTACACTGATCTCTGGAATGCTGTATTCTGATTGGTCAATCACCACAACATTCCAAAGTATATTATTGTCAGATAACTGATTAATGACCAGGGCCAGACGGAATCTGCGCACGTTTTTTGCTATTTCTGCGGAGAATTTTGGTAAAAATCTGCGGATTTCTGCTAAATTATTTTGGGAGTATCCAGCGGAGTATCATAACTAAACCCTTAATATATTAAATAAAAAGTAATAAATTACTGAATAAAAACTAAATAAATTCAGATTTACACATTTACTAAAGTTAAAAAACAGAATTAATAATGGGCTAAAAATCTGCAGAAATATGCGGAATTCTGCGGAAAATCTGCGCAATTCTGCGACACACACTACCAATCATCTTGAGGCTTATTGAATACTATCATTCATTCATTCGCTCTTCTTCAGCTTAGTCTCTTTTTCAGGGGTTGCCACAGCGGATTGAACCGGCATCTATTCTAGCATATATTTTACACAGCAGATGCCCTTCCAGTTGCAACCCAGTACTGGGAAACACCCATACAAACTCATTCAGTCCCACACTCATATACTGTGAGTTTCTTCAGTTCACCTGTAGTGCATGTGTTTGGACTGTGGGGGCAACCGGAGCTCCCGGAGGAAACCCATGCCAACATGATGCGAACATGCAAACTCCACACAGAAATGTCAACTGACAAAGCTGGGACTCAAACCAGCGACCTTCTTGCTGTGAGGCAACAGTGCTAACCACTGAGCCAGCTACTTTTTAAGGAATATTAGTTTAATTTGTCTTTGAGTATAGAAAGTATTACATTATTTACTAACACTTTAATCTTTTGAATGCACATCCTTGTGTCTGTGTTGTAGTATGGAGTATGTGTCTGTCTCAGTGGTAAAATTGTGTGTCTGTGTTTATGTATGTAATTTCAGTGGGACACGGCTGGTCAGGAGCGCTTTCGCACCATCACCTCCAGCTACTACAGAGGAGCTCACGGCATCATCGTGGTTTATGATGTCACAGATCAGGTGACCACACATTCCTTCAGCACAGCGACGCTCCAGTGACCTTTCACACACCCTGCTTCTGTCTCTCTGTGTGTTTGTCTTTAACATGACTGTGTTTCTCAGGAGTCCTTCAATAACGTCAAGCAGTGGCTTCAGGAGATCGACCGCTACGCTAGCGAGAACGTCAACAAACTTTTGGTGGGGAACAAGTGTGATCTGACCACCAAGAAAGTTGTGGATTACACAGCGGCGAAGGTAAAAAAATAAAAATAAATAAACTAAATCATAAATATACTGTTGAAGTCAGAATTATTCGCCCAAATATTTAAATATTTCCAAAATGATGTTTTCCAGTCAAATACAGTCAAATAAAAATTCAGAAAAACAATTATTCTACATGCTAAAGCACAATACAGCAAAGACGTCACTAAAATAAATGTTGTTTTTCAGGTTTCTAGCAGTCATCTTTCAGCACGCACTGCAAAAAAAAGCTCACAATGATTTTTTTTTGTTTTGTTTTTAGTCCAAATATCTTAAAACTCTTAAATCATGAAGCATTTTCTAGACAAGCAAAATATTGTTAGATTTTCAGAAATAATAAGCAAAAATTAAATGAGTTTTTCCTTAAAATAAGCAAAATAAATAAATGTAAGTTGTAAAAATATGTAAATAAATAACTTTAATACTTTCCAAATAAACCAAAATGACTGAATTGGTGTTAATTATGAAATAATGCATTAAGAGCTGTAATTCTTAATCGATTAAACTGAAACATTTCCAAAATACACTACCAGTCAAAAGCTTTTGAAGTTTTTGGTCAGTTTTATTATTTTTTTTCATGTTTTGTTTATTTTTTATTTTTTTCAAAAAAAATTATTCTGTTCATCAAGGCGGCATTTATTAAATATTAAAAAAGTGTAAAATTATTAAATATTTGTGAAAAACAAAAACAAGTTTTCTTGTGTGTAGTTTCAAGTGAAATTATTCTTCCAGTCATTATTGCTTTTATTACTATTAATAATAATAATTCATTCGTTCATTTTCTTTTCGGCTTAGTTCCTTTATTAATCTGGGGTCGCCACAGTGGAATGAACCGCTAACTTATCCAGCATATGTTTTACGCAGCGGATGCCTTTCCAGCCGCAACCCAACACTGGGGAAATATCCACACACACACACACACACACTACGGTCGATTTAGCTTACCCAATTAACCTATAGAGCATATCTTTGGACTTGCGAGGCTCGAACCAGTGAATTTCTTCCTGTGAGGCGGTTGTCCTACCCACTGCGCCACCGTGACTCCCCTTGTATGAGATTGTTGGCGATAAATTGTTTTTACAGTATTAAGGATTTTATGGATTTAGTGTTGTCACGATACTGGAGTTCAGTACCGACTACTACTGATGTTTTAAAAACGCCAATTTCCATTTGAACGCTGTTAAGCACGTTCTAAAACATCGCTGATTTGTCATTTGCTGTTTCTTAATATGCGTTCTTCAGTGATCTTGCGTCCTCGTATAATGTCATCATCAACTCCCAAAGTTCAGTTCCAAAACTTAAGACAGCAAGAACGGAGGAACGTTTTTTATGCGGAGTATTTATTGTAAAAAGGGGGAAAACAATAGCTAGCTGTATGAATGGTAATGTCTAAATATGTTTTGATTCAGAAAGCGTGAAGGTCATGTGACCATCAGGAAGAACGCAGCATCTCGTTTTTCACAGGACGCGTTCTTTGTTCTCGTGTTCTCCTGAGTTAGTTCTTCCAAGGTGACCTGGCAAGAACGGTCTCCACAAAAGTGCAAGTCCGTTCTCTCTGCTTTGTTGGAGTTGAGAAACAGCCATTGTGTTTACGTGCTCAACAGAAATGACTGTGATTGGCTGTGAAGGTAATCAGTTCACTGAACTCACCGCTGTTTACTGAGTGTAACCACAGATACAGGCACACTGGAGCATTTTGTCACTGTTTCCCAGTGTTGGTTGCAGCTTGTCAAATCAGCGCTGTTTAAAAACGTGCTCGACAGCGCTCAGATGTTAGAAGGAGATGGACATTTTTAAAGTCGCAGTATTGATTGGTTTTGAACTCCAGTAATGTGACAACCCTACTATAAATTACATTATTTTCTAATATCTAACAACCCCTTTTCTCATCTGTTGATCTCTGTGTGTGTGTGTGTGTGTGTGTGTGTGTGTGTGTGTGTGTGTGTGTGTGTGTGTGTGTGTGTGTGTCAGGAGTTTGCAGACTCTCTGAGCATCCCGTTCCTGGAGACAAGCGCTAAGAGCTCCACGAACGTCGAGCAGGCCTTCATGACCATGGCTGCGGAGATCAAGAAGAGGATGGGCCCCGGGGCCACAGCGGGCGCTGAGAAATCCAACCTGAAGATCCACAGCACACCAGTGAAGACGTCCAGCGGAGGCTGCTGCTGAACACTGACCTTACAAACCACAGACACCAGCACACACACCACAGCTGAGTAACCAGAGAGAGACAGTGTGTGTGTGTGAGAGAGTGAGTGAGTAAATGTGTCTACCTATGTGAGTACCTGTGTGTGTGTATGTGTGCTAGCGCATGAGTGCATGTATAAGTGTGAATGTTAGTGACTGTGTGTGTGTGTGTGTGTGCGCGCGCGCGTGTGATTGAGTGTGCATGTGATTGTGCTTGTGAGTATTTTAATGTGTGCCTCCATAGGTGTGTGCTAAAGTGTGTGCGTGTGAGTGTATATGTTAGTGGTTGAGTGTGTGTGAGTGTATATGTTAATGTGTGTATGCAAGTGTGTGCGTCCATAAGCATGTATGCGTGTGTCCATAAGTGTGTGAGCGCGTTTGTGTTAATGAGTGAGTGTGTGTTTGCATGTGTGTGCGTCCATAAGTGTGTGTGCTAAAGTGTGTATGCGTGAGTGTGTATGTTAGTGAGTTTTTGTTTGCATGCATGCGAGTATGTTAGTGTGTGTGTGGGGCTGTGTGAGTGAATGAGAGTGTGTATGATAGTGAGTGAGTTTGCATGTATGCATGCATGTATGTTGTGTGTGTGTGTGTGTGTGTGTGTGTGTGTGTGTGTGTGTGTGTGTGTGTGTGTGTGTGTGTGTGTGTGTGTGTGTGTGTGTGTGTATATGTGGGCGCACATGTGTGCTAAAGTATGTGTGAGTCAGTGTGTATTTGCATGCATGCAAGTATGTTTGTGTGTGTGTGTGTATGTGGCTGCGTGAGTGAATGAAAGTGTGTGTGTTTGTTTGCATGCATGCAAGTATGTTAGTGTGTGTGTGTTTGTTAGAGTGCATGCAAGTATGTTAGTGTGTGTGTGTGCGTGTGCGTGTGCGTGTGTGGCTGTGAGTGAATGACAGTGTGTGTGAGTGTGTATGCATGTTAGTTAGTTAGTGAGTGCGTGTGAGTATGTATGTGTGTGCGTGCGCATGAGTGTGCATATACTAGTGAGTAGTGAGTGTGTGTGGCTGCATGCAAGTATTTGAGTGTGTGTATGTTTGCGTATGCTAGTGAGTGTGTTTTGTTCATAAGAGTGTTAGTGTGTGTGTGTATTAGTGAGTGAGTGAGTGTGTGCGCAATATAGAGTGAGAATATTAATGACAGGATCTGCATCTCCTGACTGGATCATGCACACATATACACACACACACACACACACACTGATTTTACACACAGCCTCCCAAACGCACTTTTGGACGAGCTCGCTCCTCCTCTGCACTTCCTCTCGCGGACTTTGAAGGAAGCGCTGGACTCTGATTGGCCGGAGCTCCTCTTCACCTCTGCCTTCAGTCTGTTCATCATCATCTTCCTCTCCTGTTCTTCTGTTCTCTGCATTTCAACACGGCGGTCCTCTAAACGGCTGCACAACTACACACACGCTAGTCGCTAACAGCATTATAGGTGGCCGTTCACCCAAAAATCTCAGTTCTGTCATCATTTACTCACTCTTCAGTCGTTTCAAACGTTTATGAATATCTGTTGAACACAAGAGAAGATATTCAGAAGAATGTTGTAGCCGTTGACTTCGGTATTTGTTTTTCCGACTACTAAAGTCAATGGTTACCAGTTTTCAGCATTCTTCAAAATATCTTCTTGTGTGTTCAACAGAGGAAACTGATAGAAGTTTATAACCGCTTGACAGTGAGTAAATAGTGCATGAATGAATGTTTGTGTGAGCTGCCTCTTCATCCTCCGGTGCAATTTTATGTTCTACTAATTCAGAACCAAATCTCGTAATCCTCTATTATGAATGGGTTATTATTTCGTCTTAATTAGTTCCGATGCTCATGTATATCCTGTATATTTGTATACTGACAGCACAACTATAGCAGATTTATGTATAAATATAAACCTGATCCCGGCCGAGTGACGGACAAAAGAGAACTGACATCATAATAATTAAAGGAGCAGCTCACGCAGAAATGCACTTTCAACCTGATCCTAACATTGTTAAGTAGTTTCTGTATTAAAAGAAGAGATATTTTGAAGAATGTTGTTAATAACAGCCACTGACGTGTGACCATGGTGTTTTTCTTTTCTACTATGGAAGTCAACATTCTTCAAAATATCTTCTTTTGTGTTCAGCAGATCAGTTTGGATTGAGTAAATAACATTTTTTGCGTGTGCTGTCCCTTTAAGACGTTACTTGTGTAACTGAGTCTTGATGGAGAGAAGGCTCTTTTCTCCTGTCGTTTTGTTTTACGTCACTCCATGTTGAATTGAATTATGAAGGAAAGGGTTAATAAAGTGATTTTAACTGGATTGTTTTTTTTTTTTGTTTGTTTGTTTGTTTGTTTGTTTAAGTTTCCAGGGTCTGCAGGTTGCAATGTCCTGAATTTTGCTTGCCAATTGTAATCGATTATTTTTTTATTTGGTTCAATTTGGAATTTCCCCAACAAGCACAGAGCCTGGGGGACCAGAGTGAGTGAGACACTGCTCGCTGCAGAGCCACTTGGGCTCCAATGAGGGGGAGCTTGAGCTTCAACTCCTCCTCCTAATGCGTACACCCACCCCTAACTCCAACTCCTAATTACATTACTCAAGGTTGGGGCTCAGCCGGGGCTCAAGCTCCCCCTTACTGGAGCTCAGCTCCGCCCAAGTGGCTCTGCAGTCAGTACTACTTGGAGTGAGTGCTCCAGCTTGGCACCCTGTGGTCCTTAACCGAATGTGTGTGTGGTGTGTGTTTGTGATGAAAACTACTCTCAGATCGGTGTTGATGGTGTCCAGATGGTGGCGCTGTTCACTGCTGTGTTTCAGGCTGGATCATCAGTGCTGTTGTGTTCAGATCAGAATTACAGCAATGGTGCCAAACTCAATTCCTGGAGGGCCGCAGCTCTGGACAGTTTAGCTCCAACCAGCTCCAACTCACACCTGCTTAAAGCTGCTGTATGTAAGTTTTTGAATTTTCTAAAGCATAATGATGCCATTATATGTTTGCATATATTTAAGAAATATGCTGTGAACGTTCTTGTTTATCTTAGTAGAAAACTGCATATTTCATTTATTCTGCCAAAAAGGCACTGAAAGCATGCGTTCGCGACCGAAATGCGACCTCTGGGTGGACAGTAGCAGACACCGAAATGAGGGGCAGATTCAGAGTTCCACATAAGGGTATTAATAAGCAAATAACAGGGGTGTCGCTAGACCCCACGTGCCCCAGGAAAAATCACCAGTGCCCCAGTTATTGCTTTGAGATGTGATTTACTTTATATGCAAGTGTATTTATTAAGAGTGGTAATCCCAGAATAAAGACGTCATTCTCGCAACCGAACAAGATGAAAGAAATGTAGTTTAATCAAGAGAAGACTGAGCATGTGTGCAGAAAAAAAAACACCTGTGCGCTTCACGCACCGCTCCTGTTTGACGCGCTGCTCTCCTCCTGGTCCGGTTGTGAACATGCAGGCCGCAAAAATAGCCATGCCGTTTATGCATTTTAAAACCACCATAACGGTCTTTTATATGGAGATGTCGTTTAAATATGATGGGGATCCTTTTTCGACTAAGCATGGCTCCTGATAGATTTCTTTTTTTGGTATGAAGCAGAAAGTGGGGAAGAAGTCAGGGAGGTAAAACTTAATAAACCTAATTCTCGGCTATGAGTCGGGTCTAAGACAACACACAACAGATAATTCTATAAAACATCTCTTTTTTTGCATTATATAGAGTTGTCTATAGAATTTCATTCTAAAAAAATTCATATTTATGCAAAAGATTTCTGAAATTATCTTAGCATCGCTCTAATTGTAGTCTTTAGTTTCTCATTTACATTTAGGATTAATTTCTGTTATTTATTTAGAATAATAATTGTATAATAACAATAATGCTGTTATTTATTTGTAATTATATATAAAATTCTATACATAAATATTTTGTTTTATAATATATGGGGGGGGGGGGATTAGCCTACAGGGGTTTATAATTTTGACCTTAAAATGGTGTTTAAAAAAATGTAAACTACTTTTATTCTAGCCAAAATACTTTCTCTAGAAGAAAAAATATTATCAGACATACTGTGAACATTTCCTTGCTCTGTTAAACTTGGGAAATATTAAATTATTAAGTATTATTATTTATTAATTATTATTAAATTATTAAGTAAGTTATTATTAATTATTATATTTAAATTAAAAAGTGGGCATATATATATATATATATATATATATATATATATATATATATATATATATATATATATATATATATATATATATATATATATATAAGCTATCTGCTGATGCTTTCAGTAGTATAGTATGGCAATAAATGTCATGTAAAATGGCATTCAGACTGTTCGCATTTAACACTGAATAAAGCCCATGGGGTGTAGCTGAGGTTATCATTGTTCATTCTGCTGTTCACAAATTGAAGCTGTTTCTAATATATCAATTCCAGGTGTGTTGGTTAGAACAAACTTTAGGCAAAATCAGCCTTTAGGCGCGATCGTCAGACTCGCTTCTTTTGGTAGTCAATCTGGCAACCTGCACTTGCGGTTGTTTTGATCCAGGAGTGCAATACCTAGTTCAGCCACTGGGTGTCAAACTTACAAACTGCTCCTGCTTAATAGTCTCTAGTAGTATTGAGCGCCTTGATTAGGGTTGGAGCAAAACCGTCCAGAGCTGTGGCCCTCCAGGAATTAACTTTAGCTGACTGCAGTTCATAGGTTTGAGTGATTCATAGTTAAAAAGTGAGTAAACTCGTTGCCTTAAAATAATTAAATCAATTATCTGCATGATTTTGTAACAAGTTACTAAGTGAGTTTCATCAGTTTTTAAGTTGTCAACTTTAAAGGCAGCAGGTTACCCCAAAAGTAAAGTAACTAGTGATGTTTTACAGTGTAGAATCTGCTAAAGTAAGTTACAGCACTCTTTAATTACAATTATTATTTTAATCACATGAATTGAGCATAACAGATACCTTTAAAGTATGCAAGTCAAGATTTCTGCAGGTCTTAACATTCACAGGTCAAACTCTGAACAAAACTCTGTAAAATGCCTCTGTTCACCGAGTGTTCTCTACAACAACAACAGAGAAATGCGTTTAAAAGTGTGTGATGCAGGTCAGAAACCCTCATTATGCACAGCACATTCAGACAATAGAACTCACACACACACACACATGCCTGAAGAGGAGAGAGCTGCTCTGACATCTGCACACACACACACACACAGAAGCAGCTGTCCTGCAGTCGGAGGTCAGGGTCAAGGACAATGCAGGAGCGTGTGTGTGTGTCTGTGATGAATGGAAATGTGTGCAGTGTGTGTTGTGTAGTGTGCAGCTACTGCTGGGGGACTTGCATAAAAATGATCTCATATATATATCATCAATGTTTTTCAGTTTACTGATTGATTATATCAAGAAATGCAGTTTTTTTAAATAATGTTTAAATATGCAAATGAGGAACTAATTAATTACACGTGTTGATCTCCTTGATTTTGAGTGCGTGTGTGTGGGACTGCTTGTCCTGCATTGTGTGTGTGTGCATGTGTGTTGCATGAATCAGCTGCTCTGACTGACTGCTGCTTTATCTCCGTCCTCTTGTTCTGGCCATCTGGATGCTGTGGTTGACCTGCAGCACAGATGTCACCATGTGCAGCGTGTGGAAATATGGCTCCGCATTTTCACACACACAGATTTTTGCGCTTATTTGCATGCACATGAACCCAAAGTCTGTCTGGAGATCTACTGCTGATACACACTGATGAAGCCGTCTGCACTGAGGTGAATATTTATTTATATGTCTCTTATATGTGTACTCCAGAACTAATAACATGATGCATTATACACTGTTTACTGTGTGTACATAGGGTGACACGGTGGCTCAGTGGTTAGCACTGTCGCCTCACAGCAAGAAGGATTCTAGTTTGAGTGCCGGCTGGATTGGTATCCTGCTGGAAGTAGCCATCTGAAGATGGGTACACTGTGGTCATAAAGGGATGGACATGGTCAGCAACAATACTCGGGTAGACTGTGGTGTTGACATGATGCTCAGTGCATGTTGTTGATGCCAAATTCTGACCCGAGCATCCGAATGTGACAGCAGAAATAGACTCATCAGAGCAGGCAACGTTTCTCCAATCTACTATTGTCCAGTTTTGGTGAGTCTGTGTGAATTGTAGCCTCAGTTTCCTGTTCTTAGCTGACAGGAGCGGCACCCGGTGTGCTCTTCTGCTGCTGTAGCCTATCTGCCTCAAGGTTGGACGTGTTGTGTGTTCAGAGATGCTCTTCTGCAGACCTCGGTTGTATCGAGTGCTTATTTGAGTTACTGTTGCCTTTCTATCAGCTGGAACCAGTCTGGCCATTCTCCTCTGACCTCTGGCATCAACAAGGCATTTGCGCCCACAGAACTGCCGCTCACTGGATATTTTCTCTTTTTTTTGGCCATTCTCTGTAAACCCTAGAGAGGGTTGTGCGTGAAAATCCCAGTAGATCAGCAGTTTCAGAAATACTCAGACCAGCCCGTCTGGCCTCAACATGCCACGTTCAAGGTGAACTAAATCCCCTTTCTTTCCCATTCTGAGGCTCGGTTTGAACTGCAGCAGATCGTCTTGACCATGCCTACATGCATTGAGTTGCTGCCATATGATTGGCTAATTATAAAATTGCGTTAACAAGCAGTAGGACAGGTGTACCTAATAAAGTGGCCGGTGATTGTACATTAAAGGGTAGCATAAAGTGAACATATTAGCCTACTGTATTGCATAATAAATGTGCTTTTCTGCATGAGAACATTTGCCAAGTTTATTTTAGAGTTGATTATATTGCACATTGACAGAATTTTTATGTTGAAATATCCGAGTATTGATCGCAGACCTTGATGCATTGGCAGATCTGTTGAGATTTCTTACACAACTCCTTTATTTGCTGTTTTCCTCAAATACACACATGAACTAAAGTTGTTGCCAGTGGAACACGAGAAATGTGAAATATATATATTCATGATTGTTTTTCTGCAGTCCTGGACGAAGCTTGAGGAGCTGTTGAGCTCGTGTTGTGAATACTTCACATACTTGCGGCTTTTCCAGAGTAGAGAAAGATCACGTTCATTGACATACGAGGACTGGAATGAGAGAGAGAGAGAGAGAGAGAGAGGGAGGGGTGACATCTGTGGCATTACGAAGCCTGATTCATTTGTGTGACTCGATTCCCTCAGGCGATTCATTTGAATGAACACTTTCATGATTACTCTTTAAAAAAAATTCAATTCATTGTCTATTCCCTCTAAATTTACACTCGGAAAGCTTATATATTAATGTTTATGTTGTGTTTCCTTCGAGTAATTTAATAACAAATTACTTGGCGGTTAAAGGTTTTGCATTTTCAGGGTTTTTGCACGTTTAAAAAAAGTATTATGAACGTAAATACAAAATATTTTTTAAATGCAACTGCATAAACGTTCACTAAGTAATTTGTAAGGCTAATAAAAGTAGTATTAATAATAATAAAATATGCTATTAGGGCCAGAAGTCATTATTAGTATGAATTACATGTAATTTAACATGTAAACAACGATTTGTTTGAGCAAACAAGTGTTCCTAGCACATTTATTTTGCACAAAATATGTATTTGATACAACTAGCATAAAATGTTGATTTTTCTAAAAGTATTTATGGAGAAAATAAAGTTTGCGTTAGTGGTGTTTGTTATTTGCATTGAAAATATATAAAATTAATATATTAAGTTTCCTGACAACAATTGCTAACATTAGGCTAAAGTATTATATCGTTTATTCCTGTTTCTTTCACATTATAGCTTCTGTTCAGTGCTTTGTTGGGAGGCTAAAACGTTTTGGGAATTGACTGAACCGATTTGTTCAAATGAATCGGTTCAAATGACTCATTCATAGGTCGACATCTGCGAGCCTTGCCCTTACGTCACTGTTGAAGACTCCGCTTGCGGGTTTGTTGAAGGCGGAATAGTAGATCCGTCGGTCCGATGACCGGAGCCGCTGCATGGCCTCACGAGCTGCAGACTCGTAAATACCGTAGAAATCGAACGGAGAGGAAAAACGGCGAGCGATTCCCGAGTCCGATGAGCAGCTCGAAGTCCTCGATTGACCTGCAAGCGGTGAGTTTACCAGCTGATTTCTTTAATTCATTAAAACACTTCAGGAGACTCGTGATTCACTATGAAGAGCTCGGAAATATCGCTAACTGAAGATTTAAATGTAACGGTTCCTTTTCCGTTACATTTAGATGAAGTGTTAAGAGGTAAAACTTTACAACTAGCCATACTACTGTATTGTAAATAATCGTATTTGCTTAGTTTTGTAATTGTGTGGTTGTGAATGTGTCTCGAATGTGTAGTGATGTAAAACACGTCGTATTTAAATCAGTTAAATGACGCCAGTGTGAGTAACGGAGTGAAACCCGATCCATTGTGTCGTGTTTACTGCAGGAGTTTGCGCTGATGGTCAAGGGTCGGCTAATGCTGTTAATCACTGTTCACTTAGTTTCTCATGACTTGCTGCTTCATTTCAGTTTTACAAGAGCCCTGAAGCTTTCATTTTACTGTAAGCCTACATAGGTTTCACTTTAAAAATGTTATGTGGGCGTGCGACGCTAAATGTCACGGGTTCACTTTACTACTGAAGTGCTAACAGTTAATGTTGAAGAGATAGTTCACAATCACATTATTAAAGGTGTTTTTGCTTGATATACAACACCAACTCAGACAATTCATCACTTTAAACTATTAAAATGTTAATACAAGTAACTTTTTCCAAGTTTTCAAGGTTAAAAGTTGTTGCAAAGCTTAATTAAACAGGGAAAATATAAAAACAAATGACACAATATGGAAAACTGCTAATTTCTGGATATTTTATTGACAGTGTAGAGTTCTGGAGAGAATATTAGAGTTGTAGAATTCATAATTCAAGACATTTATCAGTGTCTCGTTATCAGGGGTTTACATGTTTTCACATAAGTCACATTATTAGTCATGATCACTCAGCAGTCATCTCTTGAAGTACGTGAGGGTTAAAGCAGAGCTGTGATTTACAGTAATGTCAAGAGTAGAGTCATGAGTGCTGAATAATTGTCTTTGATGAATGTTGTCTAAGTGGAAAGTACTGAGCTTTTTTTTTGTATGTTCAAAGATGACCCTTTCAGTGTTTATTTAAAAAAAGAGGAACTTTATGTCTAACATGAGGTCCTTTGAGCAAGATTATTAACCCTTTATCAGATGAAAAAACATATAATAATATTTGGTTATTATTATAAGTAGTCAAAGTTGTAAAGTCTTGTAATATCACCATTTACACATTTTTTGTGTGAGTGTTTCATTAAGTACTCTATAAAGAGTTAATATATTGTTAGTTACATTTATATATTTTGTTTGTTGTTATTTGTTTACATTATTTAAGTATTTTAATTCATATATATTTGTTCATATTTACATTTATTTTATTTTGTTATTTAGTTTTTATTACATTCAGTTTTACTTGTATAATCAATTTTGCACAAAATACAAACTAGAAAACATTTAAAACAAAACTTTATATGAAACATTTAAAATGTAGATTAAAACTGACACTACTAATGTACTGTTTGTACTAATGTAATATTTGTTGTGTAATATTTGATATTTATAATCAATATGTTGATTCCATTTTATTAATATTTATGTGTAATATATATTGTAATATTAACAAATATGTAACATTTTATATTATTGCATATATAATACATTTTTATAATTTATACAAAAATATTTGTAATATAAATATAATATTTGATTTCTGTGATATATATTACATTTTGATTACATTTAACATTACACAGATAATATATAGTATTTAGAAAAATTTATCTAATATTTGATAGATTTATAATTAACTTAAATTATTTTCAACCAAATAATATATTTTTGCAATATTAATGTGCTATTTGATATTATAATTAATTTTGATAATGTTACATAATAATATAATTTTTAATGTTAATTCATCCTTTTATATTATTATAATTATAGTTAATCCCATTTTACCAATAACATTAGTATTATTTATGTAATTTTTTTATATTATAATTAAATTTAATCACATTTTACCAATAACATTAGTAAAATCCATGTAATATTTTATACTATAATTATTTTTATCACACTTTACCAATAACATTAGTATTATTCATAAAATATTTTATTTTACAATTAAAGGTATGCACATTTTACCAATAACATTAATAATATTTATGTAATATTTTATATTACAATTAAATTTAATCACATTTTACCAATAACAAAAGTATTATTTATGCAATATTTTATATTATAATTAATTTTAATCACATTTTACCATAACATTGGTAATATTCATGTAGCATTTTTACTATTAGTTTTGATTACATTTAACAAAAATAAATGTATATATATTTTATATAAATATATATATTATTTACAATCGTGATGTAATATTTTATATTATTATAACTAATTTACAAATAAAAATATTATACCATGTGTTGTTCTACTAGAACACTTTTTTGCGTTCTTACTGCACTGCAAGAAAAAAAAAATCTGACAAATGTTTTTCTTTAACTTCTGTTAACTACATTTTTTTAAGCTACGCAAAGTTCAACCTAATATTTTAGTCAGTTTAACTGATGTAAGTTGAGGTGACAAGAAAAGTTCATTTGATTCAACTAAAAATATTAGGGCAGCAGGAATTATTTTTTACAATGTGTGTGTGTGTGTGTGTTTCTCTTAGACAAATGCTACATGTTGAGTAAAGGCCTGAAGCGGAAACTGGAGGACGAGGACGAGCCAGAAGTGAGTAATAATGGCTCCAGTCTGGACGAGTCTGAGTCCGAGTCCTCCAGCGGCTACAGACTCCAGCGGCAGACGGTGCTCAATCTTTCCCTGCTGAAGCTCCACAGCGTCCCGGGACACTCAGAGCCACGTCTGTCCCGCCGGGTGCTCATCTCCAACACCCTCCGACACATCAGGGATGAGCTGCGGGTGGAGGGCGGCGCTAGTGTCCGTCTGCAACCCTCTATCACTAAGGACGCTTTCAGCTCAGCACTGGCTGACATTGAAGATCTGTGTCCGACTGTGGGAATCACGGCTCTATTTTCCACAGCGGATGTTTCTAGTAGCAGTGAATCGGTTCATTCTGATGAGTCGAGGAGTGTTGATTCGGATCTTTCTGAAATGAGAAGCAAGTCGCTTTCTGACTCCACCCACCCTGTGTTAGGACACACCTCCTCGCTCATCGCCGATTTCTCATTGGACGATTTCCTGTTTACAGAAATAGACAATTTTTTATTGGACAGCAAGACTGGTTTTGGTGGCGCAGGGATTGGCCAATCAGCGCTTCAGACGAATCAGACGTTTAAATTAGATCTGAGCGAACTGGACCACATCATGGAGGTTTTGGTTGGGTCGTAATTATTTTGACATTTACATTGTCGGTTTCATTTTAACGTGAATTTAGTTTTTAAAGTTTTTTGTGCTTTATCATGAAATGTGTTCAATTTTCTTCATAAAGGGTTACTTTGGCAATGAAAATATACGCTTATTTTGGTTTATTTATTTTGATAACATTATCAGAGGGTGCGCAATGTAATGTCATGTAATACATTGCGGCTATTTTATAATATTAATATAATGTTATAACGTGGTATTTTAATGGTTCTTTGTGTTCCTTGTGAAAATTTCTTATGATTTACAGTATTTTAGCATTTAAATATTTAAATAAAATTTAAAATGAAAACTGAAGTGACTTTATTTTCCACAGCGGATGTTTCTAAAAGCAGTGAATCGGTTCGTTCTGATGAGTCGAGGAGTGTTGATTCGGATCTTTCGCAAATGAGAAGCAAACTGCTCTCTGACTCTGCCCACTCTGCTTTTGGCCACGCCTCCTCAATCATAGCTAATTTCCCATTGGACGATTTCCTGTTTACAGAAATAGACACCTTTTTGTTGGAGAGCAAAATAGGGTTTGGCTTATCAGCACTTCCGTCCAATCAGATGTTCAAATCAGATCTGAACAATCTGGACCACATCATGGAGGTTTTGGTCGAGTCGTAATTATAATTATAATTTTTTTTTTGGTGATTTAAATTGTCAATTTAAATGTGACTTTTTTAAAATCGTTTTTTTTTTTTTATTTGTACTTTATCACGAAATATGCCCAATTTTTCCTGCTAAAAGGGTTACTATGGTAAAAAAAAGTATACGCTTTCATTGGTTTATTTATTTTGATAACATTATCAGAGGCTGCGCAATGTAATATATTGCAGCTATTTTATAATATTAATATAATGTTATAAAGTGGTATTTTAATGTTTGTGTTTGTTTAAGTTTCTTATGATTTACAGTATTTTAGCATTTAAATATTTTAATTAATAAAATAAAAAATACCAAACTAAAGTGATTATTTTCCACACAGGATGTTTCTCGTAGCAGTGAATCGGTTCGTTCTGATGAGTCAAAAAGTGTTGATTCATCTTTCTAAAATGTGAAACAAATCGCTCTCTAACTCCTCCCATTCTGCTTTTGGCCATGCCTCCTCTCTCATCACTGATTTCTCATTAGACGATTTCCTGTTTACACAAATAGATGACTTTTTATTGGACAGCAAGTCTGGGATTGGCCAATCGGCGCTTTACCGATTTTTTTTTTTGATTTTTTTTCCCAATCAGACGTTCAAATTAGATCTGAACGAACTGGACCACATCATGGAGGTTTTGGTCGTGTCATAGTTTTTTTTTTTGGACAATTATATTGTGATTTAATTTTAACGTCAATTTATTTTTAAAATAGTATTTTTTTTGTACTTTATCATGAAATTAGGGTTACTATGGCATTAAATATACACGCTTTGTTGGTTTATTTATTTGGATAACACTATCAAACGGTGCGCAATGTAATGGCGTAATATATTGTGTCTAATTTATAATATTTATGTAATGTTATAAAGTGATATTTCAATTTTTTGTGGAAATTTTTTATAATTTACAGTTTTTTAGCATAAAATTTTTTTTTCTATTTTTTTAGGTGACTGATAATTTGTTGCGTACATTACATCACAATAAATTTGGGAATAAAAATATCAAAATATGAATAACATGCAAATATGAAAGTACTTAAGAGTCTTCAGTCTATATAGGAGTAGGTGGAGCTAAATATCTATTTTGGGCTGCATTGCTTGCATCGAATCTGATTGGTGGAATTCCAGCAAAGGATTATGGGTAATGTAGTTTATCACCATGAATTGTTATAAATGCGAACAAGTGTTCAACAAAAGTACAAATAACTAACAAATTCCAAAGTGTATCACTTATTTTAACTAAAAACTGATTCATCTGATAATCAGAGCTTTGAAAATTCATGAAAAAGTGCTTTATTGCTTTCAGTTTAGCCAATAGAGAAATGATTGAGACTTGAACAGGATTTCACACCAGCGCAGCGTTTTCTCTTAAATTATTTTAATTTCTTGTGTACACTTAAAGAAAATTTACACACTTTTTTTTTTTTGTTCTTCAAAGAACCCGGGCATGCGCGATTGACCTCGGTACAGGCTCTTTAGAGATATCATTCATCGGTATGAGTTTTCCATAGGAATTTTCCCATAACAATTTTTACATGTTCCATAGTTTGACTGTACACAGTCTGAAGCCACAGTTAACTATGTAAGCAAGTTCTTCCGTATATCTTTACAATGTGCAAAATCCTCCAGGAGACAGACTAAACAGTGACACGACTAAATAAAACGACCAACAGACGAAAAATAAACAAAAGCCAAAAGGATGAGAAGACACTTCAGGCGGACGTTTCCCATCACGCAATCCACAATGATGGCAGACGTCCTCCAGAGGAGTCACGAGAGATTAAATAAAACAGCATGACCGAAAACACAGGGAAATCAGCAAACTGTTACAGCAGATATTGGTCCCTTATTCTCGATACATCTATATATTTATATATATCCAAGTTAATCATTCACTCAACGATTCCTTCACTACATTACAGTCGGAAGCCAGTGGTTTCAACTAGCATTAAAAAAATTGTTAAAATAACAAAAGATGAGCAGCTAGATATTAAAGCTAAATCTGTCAGAGTGAAATCAAGATAATCAATAATTAATCAATAATGTGCACAACAGAAACGTGAAGTGTTCGCTAATGCATGTGGGAAATCAACAAAACTGAAACCTACGAAAGTTTTAACGATATAAATCCTAACGTCAGCCGTAATGATGAAAAACTAAGGCCTTTGTTATGCAAAAAAACCCCAAAGAAATCGAGAAATTTGCAGGCGGTTTGGTTTCAAGTCGATATAACTACGCATTTATATATAATCTAAGTACAAATCTGATCATTCACATCCTCATTTGTGCCGCTGAAGGACTTTTAAGCCAGTGTTTCATAAAAACAAACCATGGAAAATAACAAAGTGCCTCGGTTTCTCTCTCATACACACTAACGTAACGGTGAAGAACACTCGAAAGGAAAACAAAGTCTCATCCCTGATTATATACAGATTGGCTCTAATATTAACACAAACTCTTCCTACAATCAATCTACGAATAAAATGATCTAATCCTGCCAAATTGAGCCGATTAGCACTCTCTCTCTGACGTACCGGACGATGTATTTGAACTTAAAAACGGGCAGAATGAGGAACGAGAGCTAGAGAACTGAAAGGATGGCATTAAAATCATAGACGGGGTCGAATATTGTGGAGCTGGAGAGCGATACACAATGAAAGAGAGGAAAAGAGCGCGTCAGTCGGGCGTAGAGGACGAGGGCAGGAGAGGAGTCAGTGTGGAGGGAAACATCAGCACTTTAGCCTGCATGAAGGACAGATCCGGCAGGCCTGAGATCACCCGCTGAGCCTCCGGGCTCAGATTCTCCTCCTTCGGCACTGGCTTTCTGCTGAGAGAGAGAGAGATCAGAATAATCAGACAGAGAGATCAGAATGATCAGAGAGAACAGACCTATCAGAGAAAGAGAGATCAGAGCAATCAGACAAAAAGAGAGAGAGGGAGAGGAGAGAGAGATCAGATCGATCAGGGAGATCCGATCAATCAGAGATCAGACCAATCAGAGAGAGAGAGAGAGAGAGAAGTCAGATCAATAGGGAGAGCAGTCCAATCAGATAGAGATCAGACCAATCAAAGAAAGAGCGATCAGACCAATCAGAGAGAGAAAGAGAGAGGGAGATCAGACAGAGATCAGACCAATCAGAAAGAAAGATCAGACAAATCAAAGAGAAATCAGACTAACCAGACCAAGAGATCAGACAACTAAAAAAAAACAGACCAACCAGAAAGAAAGATCAGACCATTCTGGGAAATAAAGACCAGACCAATCAAAGAGAGATCAGACCATATAAAAAGAGATCAGAGTAAACAGAAAGAAAGATGAAACCAATCAAAGAGAGATCAGACCAATCAATAAGAGATCAGACCAATTAAAGAGAAATCAGACCCATCAATAAGAGATCAGACCAATTAAAGAGAGATCAGACCCATCAATAAGAGATCAGACCAATTAATGGGAGATAAGATCAATTAAAGAGAGATCAGACCAATCAAAGAGAGATCAGACCAATTAAAGAGAAATCAGACTAGTCTGGGAAAGAAGAATAAAAATCAGAGAAAGATCAGACAAATCACAAAGAGTGATTAGACCAATCTAAGAGAGATCAGAGAAATCATAGCAATACCAATCAGATAGAGAGAGTGAGATCAGACTAAACAGAGAAAGAAAGATCAGATCAGATCATATATGAGTAAATGTTTCAACATTTTGATATGTGTACACTAATATCAATGCATCAGAACAGTTGAGAGCAGTGCTGTTCTGAACTCATTCTGAACTGCAGTGCGGCTCCCTCTGGTGGAGAGTGAATGAGTTTCACTGACCTGGTGGAGGTGCTGGTCTTCTCTACAGTCGACATGAGGCGAGCAAATGCATCCACCACTCGACTGCTGCCCCCGCTGACCTCCAGCTTTACCTGGGTCAACTCATACAGCTCTGGGTCAACACCTGCACACACACACACACACACACACAAAACAAATAAACACATTTACTGCACATTTGTCAACCACCCACATAGACACACATGCAAAAACACTAGTTTAAACAGAGAGTTAAAGATACAGATGCAAACAGAGCAGAAGAACGGACACACACACACACACACACACACAGACACACACACACACAGAGAGAAAGAGATTTGGTGTTAAAACAGAAAGGTTTGGTCAAACCTGGAATAGAGGTGGCCGTGCCGGAGGGCGATTCATCCACTGGGCCGAAAAAATCGAGGTTGAGCAGAGACGAGCCTCCACTCGCTTCAGAACCACAGAAGCAGGAGAAGGTGGTTATGGAGAGAAAGAGGGAAACGAGACAGCAGGAGTAGATGCATGATCAGATTAGGGCTGCACCATACTGGAACAATATGAGATAATACTGTTGAGTATTGCGATGACCATGGCTGTTTCTCAAATGCAAAATCGCAGAGAATGGACTTATGTTCTCGAGAGGACCAGTCTTACTAGGTTACCTCAGTAAGGTAGCTCAAACCCTTAATGTGTTCATGCCTTTATTAAGATTTTCATGGTAAAGTTTACTTTCACCATTTTATTTAGGAAAACTCTTAAAATACGTAAGTTATAGCTCTGAAATGTACTAATAAATCTATATAAAATGCTGCGCTTTCCATCTCCTTTATTCAGTCGCAATGACTTCTGGACGTCTC